GAGACTGAATAAATATCGACGCGAGCGAGATATTTTTCGAACAGAACCACGCCGGCGAGCGAATTCCACGCGGAGACGGCGAGTCGACTTGATCACATCTACAGTAAGTGCGAGTAAATTGTTAGTCGCCCGCATAGCTTTTATGATTTACGTTAATCGGCATACGTACATCGTCGGGTATTATTTTAACGATCCGCAAGTGGTCGTTGACGTTCAACGAGCGATCGTTGCCTTGTCTCCTTTCCCCTTCGACCTACGTAGTCTAATACAATTAATGACCGCACCTGTACGGCCTTGATCGCGAGTGATTGTCGGTGCCGATAGATCGAATCGCGCCGCGTCGCGAAATTGCGATGCAGAAAGAATTCGCCGGGAATGCCGGCTTGACGTAACCGATGTCGTGATCGTTGCGTGACGTTGCGCGACGCAGTGCGGCTGTCGGAAATCCGCGTACTCGCAGGTGCACCGCGGATTTAAATATCGAGTGTCGCAATGCAACGCATAACCGCGTAACGTGCGGCCACTCGAGCGTTTCACATCGTGCGGATTCTCTCTCTCTCTCTCTCTCTCTCTCTCTCTCTCTCTCTCTCTCTCCCTGCCTCGAGCGTAAGCAACTCGGATCTCTCTTCGTGCCAATCTTATCGCCACGTCCTCTTCCAACGACCGTTCGTTCCATCGATTCGACACCAATTAGGTCGGCATTGAAATTTCGCACTCGCTCCGTCGGTCGCGGAACGTCGCAGGCCGACCGACGTGGAAAGTCGCTCAGCGCTGGCCTGGGTTTCGTCGAATGCGAATGAGTTTGTCGCAGACGGATCGGGAAATCGCGGCGAAAACTGCGTTAAACCGCGAGAATTTTCATAACCGCGCGATTTTCAGTCATATTCCACTTTCTACGATAAGCCCGCGCTCTCGACGACACGCGCGTTGCACATGGTGTAAGGAGGTCACTCCTCTAATTAACTTAATTGGCAGCTTTGGTGTAACATACGGCGTGCCGCTCCGACGGGCGTCATAAATTTTTTTTCGGTCGGCCCCTCGAACTAGCTCGCGGCTGTATCCGCATCTTCGAGTTACGACCGACCGTGTGCGGCAACACGGAGGAGACCGATTGATACTCGCTGCGGCTTGATGAAGAGTAATGTCGGCGCTTTTAGAACGGTCTGACCAAACACGGCGCGTTAATACGAAAGGGGGAGGGCGTAACATATTTTGGGTTGAAGTTTGATTATACGTTTGTGTGCGGACATATTTAATATTATACGTGAAATATTTAACATACTTTTACACGGCAGTGTGAAAATTTGCATCGCATAATTTTTGGCTATCATCTTTAAAATTAAATTTTTGCACACACTATCTTAAGGGGAGAATTACACGCGGAGCAGGCCGTCTCCAAGGCTATTTTCACGAACATTTTGTCAACAGAAACAGGTTTAATGTTTTATATGCGCTTTCCATATAGATAGTAACAAATTTATTTTATACTTTCAACATTAATACACTGTTTTCAAGGCTGCTTCGTAAAAGCAGCCTTGAAAACAGCTTTCCGCACGTAATACCGTTAAAAGATCGAAATAACAGGTAATAATATTTAATGATACGAACTGTTGAATAACACCGATATGATTCTGAGAATATGACGAATTTTTTACAGCATGTAGTAATAATAAGACACGACGACGACGGCGATCGAAATGTGCTCGGTGCAACGTTGCTCCGAGCGTTCGGCAGCCAAATCGGTCGCGCGCGACCTTGCGGCGCCGGCGTTTCGCGGCCTCAGCAGAAATTGCGGCGGCACAATGCCGCGGCTTTCGCGTTACACGTAAGGCGACGCCGACGAACTACGACTCCAGCTCTTTTTACGTAACGCCAAGACGCCAGGCCGTGTTAAATCGGTCCGCTTCCGCGTTTCGCCTCGGGGCCTCTGTTTTCAGGAGTTTGCCGACCTTTAATCACTCCGACACACGCGCCATATTTACTCACACGAGCCAAGATGTGGCGTCCGCGAGAACTCGCGAATTATCGTCGTCGCATGGCACGCGCGCGGCGCACATATAAATAAATATCCGCGGCGGGTCTCTTCGAGCCCGACGGCGCGTACGAGATACGATAGATGTCGAAGCGCGGACTTGCTCGGACGCTCTCGAGACAGAGGGAGAGAGGGGAGGGGCAGAGACGTGACAGTCATACATTTTTTATATCCGTAATGTTTCAGAGGCGCGATAACATTCGCGGCGGGCCAGCGGTAATTTGACACTTGATGAGCGCGGATGATTGTATAAGCACAGCACGTAGGACGGAAACGCTTTGTCGACGGGCACGCATGAAAAAGATACCACCGGTAGGATCGCACGATCCTGAGTCGCAATTCACGCTCTTTTTCCAGCGGGACGTCTAATTATGCCAACTGTCATAATACGGATGTAACGGGGGATATTTATAGCGCTGCCTCACACGAGCGCGCCTCGGCGAGAAAAATATCTCTCGCGTCACGCCTCGCAAGTCGATCGCACGATTCCGCGCACGACTCCGATCCGGCTTGTTTCTCGCGCCGATGCGTTTTCCGAGCAGCTCCTTCCTCCGCACGCTAAGTTGCGTTCGCACCGAAAAATTCCAGTTCCTCGTTTTGCGTACTTTGAAACGGTCGGACCCGCGAGGATCGGGGAGCAAGATCAGCCTTTGCGCGCATCATGTCCCTGTCGGGTTAAACACGGTCTAGATTGATCGGGAGAGCGAAATCGACACACGGCAGACGAAGCGTGGCAATATCGCGCCACGCACCAAGTGACTCGAATACGTATACCAGCGCAACAGGGGTTCGGCGATCTCATTATTAATTAATTATGGGAATCGGCCCGCTTTATCAGATCGGCTCTCATTATCGGGTAAATGGAGTAACAGTAATTTTCGACACCTCCTCGACATGAGCGATGGGATGCGCGTTGCGATATCCTGGAACGTGTTTTAATCAGCTTCGGCTAACATAGAAATATTGAGCCAATAAGTTAATAAAAAGTCGGTCGATAAGTAATGTCGGGTTTTTCGGTAAGCAGGAGAAATAATTTTCTTTTAATATAGAAAACTCTATTAGATATGATGTATTGACACGTTTTGATATATATCTTTTCTTATAAGCAGCCTCATAATATTGCACCATCCTACCGGAATTTGTCATTTTTTTCAGCAAAAAATCTTGAAAGATGCACTTTACAGGCCTCTAGAGAATCGAAATTTCTTCCATTAAGCAAATTGCGCAAGGAACGAAGTAAGTGAGAATCCGATGGTGCTAAATCAGGTGAATATGATGGATGAATAAAAACATCTCCGATTCAGCTCTCTCAATTTCTGCTGTGTCCGTAATGATACGTTTACGGGACTAAAATCTCCATCACGAAATTTATCGAACCATCTTTGCGCCATTCTTTCGTTCACAGCGCCATCACCGTGCAGAAATCTCTTCTGCTGTTTGTATACTACATTTTTATCTTTGCGGAAATAAAAAAGCACGATTGCGCGAAGATGCATCTTCCCGTGGCTCATCTTTGAATCGGAACAAACACTAAAAAACTTAGGCAAATATAATAAACATTTTTTTCTTAATTACTCGTTCAGCCACGTGCGTTTTACAAGTCACGTGTAGTCTTTTGCTTCGAAGGTAGCGGAAACAATCTCTCAGCCGAGAAGACCCGACGTTACTTGTTGGCCAACTCAATACATGACGCGTCTGTTGTCGAATTAACGGCGAAGACAATATGCTGCGATGTAAACATTTATTTAGCAGCACGGCGGAGAATTCTTCGCTGCGAGCACACCGTGAGAGAGGGAAATCACGCTGCGGGATTTCCCAGCTTGCGGGCCACAGAATCCACCGTCGCGCGAGCAGCTTCTTGCCATGTGCGCCATGTCGGGTTAATTAACACTCGCATCAAAACGGCGACGTTAATGCCCGGGTACACACACACACACACACACACACGGTCCGCGCGAAGAAGAAAACTCGATGTCATATCCGCTTCTGAGAATTCGTAATCGCGTGTATAACGTGCAAGCGCAATCAGTGCTTTCGCGATTAGTGTTTGCCTGGATTCCCCCGCAGCGACACGCGCCGCGTCAACGGCGCGCAAAGTGAACCGTCGCGGTCTCGCGGAAATAATAGCTGCGCTACCGTACTGAACGACATATCTACTCCTTCGCAGCCTGCAGAATCGCGCGATTGACACAATTATTCTCCCTCCGAGGAAACAGATCGCGCGCGCGCGCATCTGGAGAGTGTATTGCCTCGGCGTCCCCGAGAACACGAGTGTGTTTCATATCGAACGATTGTACAAGAATTTTACAACTTTCGCGCGAAGCACTTCCCGATATTTCCCGTAGTTTACGAGCTGCGAATCGGCAAAGCGGGCGAAAGTCTGTCTGAGCGTCCTCGAGGAGCGGCTTCACCGCCTCGGACTGTTCCTTGTCACCTAAGTGGCCATTTTTTAATTTACTTTGTACATTCACGCGAACTTTCGGATTATCGCGGATCGTGAACGGACTGACAACGTCTCGCTTTCCAAAGAATCGTGAGCGGCGGGTAGAGCTTCGTTAACTCCGCGCAGCGCAGCGCGAATTAAGGCGTACAGCTGCGCCGCGCGCGATCGATTTATTTTCCCTCGGCCGAACTGCCGAAAGCGGCCTACGTATCCGGATAATACCGACGAATTACGCTAGAACGAGAGTGGTTTAGCACACACGGTAAATTTCGATTGACCGTGGGGGTCAACGATTGGTCGATCAAGTTCAGCAGCCAGTTAGCCGACAGTTAGCCTGCTGTCGTCCGGCTAACGACTTAATGACGGGAATTCACCACTTACGAGTTCCTCTTTTTCTCCTCCCTCCCCCATCCTTCTCCCTTTCTCTCATCCCGTTCTCGTTCGCGCTCCTCTCTCTTTCTCTCTCCCCCCCTCCCCCTCTCCCTCCCCCCCTCTCTCTCTCTCTCTCTCTCTCTCTCTCTTTCTTTCATTAGCAACGCTATTGACGCGGAACAACGCGCCGTCGGCAGTTCGGTAACAATGTCGAAAATTAGTCGATACTTTAGCCGGAATCGCCGTTGCTTCGTCTTTGCTTTGTCGCATCGTACCGGCTACGACGAGGAGATAAATTCAAATAAATCTCGACTTCCGTCCCGTAAGCGAATGCACGGGGCGTGAATGGCCGGCTGAAAATGCAAATGTACCCGCGTAATTACGCGTTGCTGAGGAGAAGATTGTACTGTTATTCATCGTGTCCCCGATATAACGACTCTTTTCATAATTACAGAGGGGGGAGGGGGCTGCTTACGCAATTCTTCGCTCACAAATTGAAAAGCCTCTCGCGAAAACTCGAAATCGACACGGGCGATTGTTCGCGCGCATTCCTGCGGCTCCCTCCCCTCCCCGGAGACAACAGCAGATATCTTTAAATACCAGGTGAAACTAGGAAATGACATCGCGGTAGCGGACAATCGTTCCGCGGGCAGTAATTGCAGCAACGCATCGTGCGACGATTCTGCGAAGGCAGAAACCACGGACGTCGAATTATTCCCCTCAATGCCAATCGCTCACGAACGAGCGCGTTATTCGAAGTCGACGTCGTCCACTCGTTTTCTCTCGTTATTCTCCCTCTTCCACTTTCCCACGATTGCAACCACGGAAACCTTTGTTAGTTACCTGCTTTTTCTTATTCTTTTTTTCTTTTTTTTTTCCTTTTAACGCGGCTGAATTCAGGCTCGGAAAGTGTAGAAAGCGCGGCGAACCCGTTGACAACCGGGCGAAGCGAAAGTTTTGTGATGTCGCGTATTCTGAAAAACGGGCGCGCCATACAATGTAACCACATCGGTGTGCGCGCGCGCGCGCGCGCGAGAGAGAGAGAGAGAGAGAACATATTTCAATATACATTTAATTACGCTTGTCGTTTAATCAACGTCGGTGTCAAGCGCCGTAAATTAGACTGTGCCTATATAGATGAATAAGTTCTGCCGTGGTTTCGTTCCTTTTCGTTTTCATCGCCGTTAAGTGAATCGATCCGTCGGACCGGTTGGCGCGTGAAGATAATCATCTCGAACGCTATCATCTACGGCACATTAAATTAAGGTTAAGCCTTATCCGACGATCGCAATCTAATCTTTCATTACGATCCGACGTGCTTCAACCGGTACATATCTGCAGCCCCGCTATTACAGTCTCTTGTCGATCACAGCTCACAACACCTGCGAGTCGGTGGGAGCGTTTTGCGAATAGCAAATAATAATAGAGTTTCCCGCGTGATGTAAAGTTACGCCGCGCGATTGAATTTCGAAATTTACCGCGCGGCGTTCGTCCGTCGGTGAAAGCGTCTCGCGCGGCATCGCAACGGAAGCGCTCGATGCAATCCTCGATATTTGCGCGAAGCTCCTCTTTCCATTCGTCATCAGACGAGACGATCATTAGCATCAAACAGCAGATCACCAGATTTAATCTGTCGATATGTAGATCCGCGGCTCGCGTGCGTTCGCGCAAAAAATGCCGAGCAGTTCTTTACGTAATGAAAAGCGAGAAACGCTTCTCGCCGCTGCGTCTCGTCGACCGCGTCGGAGACGGACGCACTCGTGAGTGGGATCTTGACGAATGCTCGTGAGCATTTGGATTTGTCTTCTCCTCGTCGCGGCCAAGTGCGCCAGAAGTTGTGCGTAAATTCGTCGTTCCACGAGTGAAGATCGTTCCGTTGACACTGACAAGCCGTATTAAAAGCTGCTCAAGGTCGAACTGTTGTTTGTCTTTTAAGAATAATTGCCGTTGAAAGTGTAAATGTAAACAGAATGGACGTAAGTATACGAGTTCACTTGTGTCCAGCGAACGACTCGTGATCATTATTTCGCTAAAGGTCTCCAAGTATTTGAAGAAAATCCCACCACAGAGTGCACTGTAACGTCGATCACGTTGGAAGATTCCACCAGCGATCGACGCCACTGCGCCTTCTCCGTGGATAGAGGAATCATTTATCGGAATATATTCTTGTTTACAGTCTGTCAATGCCGAGAACAAGACTAACATATTGCAATGGCCGGACTACCTCGTGATCAGTGTGATCATGTTCGTCTCCGCCTCCATCGGGCTTTATTACCGATTCAGCGGTGGTCGACAAAGTACATCCTCGGTCAGTTTCCGAAAAATCAACGCGTTTCATTCAACGCGACCAAATCGCGTCCCAGCGACTCGAGTGATTCCGACAAAGTGCGCTCCGGTTCTCCTCTTAGAAGCAGAACCAAATGTCGAGTGGATTTTGTTTATTTCCTTTTTCTCTCTTTCTAGGTTGGTGCAAAAATAACTGCGGTTTTTATCATTTTAAGTCTGGCGCCGATTTTTTTATAACAGTTACCGTTATCTTTCGTTATAGTGACACGTCATTGCAAACAATGAAACTGGTTTCAGCTTGTGTCTATTATTTTCATTCTCTAGTATTGTTGGATACAACCTCTTAAATTGGTCATGGAAAAAAAGCAAATTCGCGCGATTCTGTTGCATGAGTTTAAAAGGCAACGAAAACTGCTCGAAATGCCAAATTTATTTTTGGCGACGAGTCAATCAGTGAAGCGAGTCAATTAGTACGGCTCGACACTGGTTCCAAAAATTTCGTGATGCACACAAGAACCTTGAAGATGAGGAAGGAGGTCGTGGACGTTCTTCAGCTATAGGCAATAATGATTTAAGAACCATTATTGAAGCGGACCCGCGTAAAACAACTCGAGAGGTGGCAGAAGAACTCAATGTTGATCATTCAATCATTCTTTATTTTGATCAACAACTATAATTTTTAAGTGTGTCTATATGCGTCTTGATACTCGATAAAGACCGTAATTATTTTGCACCGACCTAATAATCATTGAATCCACCGTGATAGTAGTGGGTTCCCCCATGAACCCACTAGCTGGCTGTTGTGCATAACCGATCGCACAATTACCACCAATAGGAGTACCTCTCCGCGGAGAACTCGATGGGCATGCTACCCCTCTCGATCTCCTTGATGGCTTCCCAAATATCGGCCATCACCATGCTCGGGATAAGCGGGGAAAGTTACATCAACGGCCTGTTCGTCGTCATGATGTACGTTTGCAACGGTATAGCCATACCGTTCGTCATCTACTACTATCTACCGGTGTTCTTCGAGCTGAAGGTCGTAAGCATCTACGAGGTAATTGCCGGACGATCGGCTATCGTCCACTATTAACGAGCATATACAAGTAGTTGGAGCGCGGCTCTCCGAAGAAGCGACCGGTCGCGGTCGCTTCATCTCGCGCGCGCGCGCGCGCGCGCGAACTTAATAATCGAACGTATTATAAAATCTGAAAATCGGGATTGAAAGATCCAAAAGACTCTCAGATGCTGCTGAGTCAGCTCGAGTAGATTGCGAGGAGACTCCCGGCGTCGGACAATTTTGCGAGAGGCACTCGTTTCCTCTCACCCCGGAAATCCTCCCGTCTGCTTCCTTCTCAGTACCTGCAGAAGCGATTCGGACTGCACTTACGGATGCTAGTGAGCGCCGCTAACTTCATTGAGACACTGATGCTGGCCGGGGTGATGCTATACGCCCCTTCGTTAGCTCTCGAAGTCACCACAGGCTTGTCCAGCACCATGAGCATCGCGGTGATCGCTACAATTTGCACCTTCTACTCCACGATAGGCGGCATCAAGGCCGTCTTGGTCACCGACGTCTTCCAAGGCATACTCATGGTGATCACGATGTCGACGATCCTCGCCATCGCCGCCGCGAACGTCGAAGGAGGCGTCGCCGGCATCTGGCGCATCGCGCGAGAAGGAAACCGTCTAGACTTCGACAAGTGAGTTGGTCCAGTCTCGACTCGTGTCCGTTTCAATTTGATCGCTCCTACAGCGATTCCGAGTAACACTGTGCCATTGTGACTAATTAGCCGCTAATTAGCCGGGCCGGCGAAGTAGCAGCTCTAAAGAAGATTTAACTGAATGTGTTCATCCAGGTGGAGTCTCGATCCAACTGTGAAATACACGTGGTGGAATGTTATATTTGGCAGCACGATGGGCCTGACCTTCATCGCGGTGAATCAGGTGCAGGTCCAACGTCTGTTGACCGTTAGGTAGGCGTAGATTAAGCTTCCTGGCCGCTCGCCGCGGCCATATTGGATAATGGCGTCAGAGGCGAGAGGTGGAGGTGGCACGCTGAAAAGATTCTTGCGTGCCAAAAATAAAGAGAGATTCTCGTGAAAGAATAATTCAGCTCGCTCGAGAGCGTGTTTGGGAAACGCTCCGAACGCGCACGACGCTGCTCCCCTGATCAATCAATCAACAAGCATCTAATGATGAACGAGAACCAGTCGTGCGCGCGCATGCGCAATCATCCCTAATGGGACCAGCTCCTCATACACTACAGTCGTCTTACGGCTCTTGCTGGACTTTCAAGGGAGAAGTGCTCGCGGAGCGTTTCACCGGTATGCTCCAACGACCTCGAGTTTTCTCTCACGCAAGTATCTTCTGATTTGGAAATGGCGCGCAAGAATCCCGACAGACGAGGGACCGAGAGGTTCCAAGAGGCGAACCGGACGTTCGCTTATCGATCGGTAATCCTTCGCTGTACCCACAGAAACCTGAAGACAGCCACGAACGCTGTAATATTGAGCGGTCCCTTCGTCGTACTACTGGCTGGTTTAACTTGCCTCACCGGAGTGTCGCTCTACGCGGTCTACCGAGACTGCGACCCGGTGGCGTCCGGCAAAATCTCCTCTTACGACAAGATAGTCACGCACTTCACCGCGGAAAGAATGTCGCCCGGGGTGATCGGCCTGATTATCTCCGGGATCTTCAGCGCCAGCCTCAGCACCATCTCCGCGATGATGAACTCGTTGGCCGCGGTCGCGCTGGAGGATTACGTGAAGCCGCTGTGCCAGAAGTTCGGAGCGAACTTCAGCGACAACAAGGCCGTCTTGGTGGCCAAGTTGTTGACTTTCCTCAACGGCGTCTTGTGCCTGCTGTTGGCTCTGTTGGCGAGGACGATGGGCGGCCTGGTCGCCGTCGCTCTGAGTATCACCGGGGCGATCGGCGGCCCGATTCTCGGTATCTTCACGCTCGGCATGTTCACCGAGAACGCGAACGAAGCGGGAACGTATATCGGTATGATTACCGCCTTGTGCATCTGCATGTGGGCGGCTTTCGGCCAGCCGAAGCCGCCGCCATCGCTGTCGCCAGTCTCGGTGGAAGGCTGCGTGAATTCCACGGAGCTGCTGCTCGCCGCACACAGCAGTTACAACAGGTATGATAGTACTGTGATCAAAAAGTATCCGAGCTTTATTTTTAAAAATTTTAAAAATTTCTATTCAATCATCAAAATTCTTGTAGTCTCCTTCAAAGTAGTCCCCGTTGCTTGCACAACGCACATATGCCAGCGTTTGATCCAGTTCTGGAAACATCGTTCATACGCGGCAGTATGACGGTATGGTCTTCGATTTTCCTCAACAGACTCGAAACGCTGCCCGCGAAGTGATTTTTTCAGTAGGGGGAACAGGAAAAAGTCGCAGGGGGCCATGTCTGGTGAATACGCGAGCTGGTGCTCGCGGAGCGACATTCGTTGAGTTTTTTGTCAGAAGTTCACATGAGCATCCAGAGTTTCGGTACATACAAGCTGCAAAACTTTTGTACTGGATAAATATTACGCTAACTGTCAGTTCGAAATTTTACTTTAAAAATTTTTTATCGCTTTCGCCTTATATCGAGTGATGCTCCAATTAATTTTTGTACGTGCTTTCATCGTGTAAAAGCATATTTAATTCTGAAGCATTTAAAACGACGTGGAAACTCTGTGGAAAAAATGTCAAATTTTGATCGACTGTTCTCTGCCGATAAAGCTTTCACGTTCGGCAAACCCCCTTAAACCACTCAAATGTACTTGTTTTCGATAAACAATCCTCGCCATAAGCTTCTTGCAACATTTTCAATGCGTTTGTGAACGAGATTCCGTTCGCAACACAAAATTTCAAACAAATTCTTTGCTCCGTTGCTTTCGACATCGTAAAAATCGCCGCGCACAACAATCTTCAAAGTGGCATAAGCAACTGCCACTTTCACACGGCTCGAAGGAACGCCATGATTTTTTTTCACCAAATGTGAAGGACATGTGTACCAACTTAAGAGAGCAAACGGATTTGATTTACAGTTTACCCGCGATTTTTAAAAAATAGAGTTCGGATACTTCTTGATCACAGTAGTACTTCCGTGTCTGAGCCGATTTGGGGACTGCGGGGATTTTCGGCGATTCCGCGATCTCCCCTCTCTTTCTCTCGCGCGACGCGCTGAAATGCCGACGTCGTGTTGGCGTCGCCATCAGCGGCTTGATCTCAGCCGAGAGAACGAAGCAGCGCGGGATAGAAAGAGCAGCGTTTCAGGCGCATGGCACGAGTCGCACGATGATGGGAATATGAGTTATCGGCGGGCCGTAAATCGCGTCTTATCGGTGGCACTTTGAGCTTTGCGCAGCGCCGATGTGGTCGGCCGGCTGAGAGACGCTGCGCGTCCCACCGCGCAATTAGCCGCGAGCCAAGCGCCGATTTCTTTCACGCGCCGCGGACGATAAGCTCGGCTCCGTTCGGCATTCCCACGGCGGTAAATAACGCTAATTGCGCCGTTAATAAACTGAAATTACGCTCGTCTCGCGGAACACTAGCCGCTGCCGCCGCGTTATTACGCGGGATTAGATGTGCGTTATCGCTTTCTCTTTGTCGTTGGAATTCGCGCGAACTGACGGCTCCATTTCCGACGATGCGAGAAATTGAGAGGCTGCTACGACCGGCGGTCCGATTTAATTGAAATAACCCCGATGTGCGGGTAGATAAAACGACACGCGTGCCTTCCTCGGCGGCGAGTGACGCGAGTGTGTGTGAGCGACACTCTTGTCGCTCGGGAGATTTCCCCCCCCCCTGATCCTTCCTGTTGCAAAATACGAAGATAAATCTGGCGCGAGAATCGCACTTGAATCACTTTCCACGCGCGAGGCATATCCGAGTTGACAGCTTACGTCGTAATCGAAAGATTGCCAGATGCTCGTTTAACCCTTTAAATCCTGAAGATACTTCAAGGTATCGCCCTGTATAAACGCTCATATGTTTCTGAACTCTTTTTCTCGGTGCCTTGCTCCACATTCCTGTCGGCATTTATAAGTACTGCCTTGAAATTTAATCATTGCATTGTTATCAGATTTATTTTCCTATTTCTTATGTGTCCCACAATATACCAGGAGTCATTTAATTACACCAAAATTTCATGGGAAGGTCTTGGCTAATTAATTAATTATTATACTATTAATTAATTATTAATTATTAAAATTAATTCAGGAAGGGATTAATGTAGAAGAAGAGATACTTATTTTTTCATCTTGAAAATTATTCTCTCTCTCTCTCTCTCTCTCTTCCTTCTCCCCTCTCCTTTCTCTCTCTTTCTTCTTTCGCCATACACTCATTCTTCACGTTTATTCTGTTTTCTCTTTTACAGTACCGCATTACCGGACAAGTCGTCGTACTTCTACTTGTATCGTATTTCCTACATGTGGTATAACTCCATAGGATTTGTGATTACTATAGTGGTTGGATATGTAACGAGCATTGTAATACGGCGCATTCGACCCGGAAATAACATCGAGCACGATCCGAACTTGTTCGTGCCATTTCTGGCCTCCAAGATCAGACGACGACGACGGGACGCGGAGAAAACTACCGGCAGTCAGCTGTTCGTCCTGGATGCTAGATGAGAAGCTTGTAACTAGATAAAGTGCAATTATTCATGAACAAATATGTGACACTCCTTCAACCCCGGGCGACTCGATGATTTGTAAGATGTCGACTCGACGTTCGACATTAAAGAAAAAAACGATTGACCGACTGTTACTGTAAAAATTAAGCTACGGCGTTGAACACAAATTTAAAGTCTGCTTGTTTAGGACACGGCGTGTACACGTATTACATCAATTGCGTTTCAGTCTATTACCCGCGATAAAATTCGCGCCGTCCCTCGTGGCGGTAATTTTTCACATCAGCGAGTCGTGAATAAAGAGTCTTTTTAGTTCATTCATACGGCTGAAAATAATTAACAAGAAAAAAAAAAAGAAAAGAACTCTTATCGTCGCACAACACCACTTTCACGAATAATCTTCGGGCTGCTCATGTATGAAGCCAAAGCCACGGGGCTTTTATCCAATTACGAGGCGACGCGAGAACACGTCCGTAAATCGACGCCGATCGATCATGATGAATGTCGGCGAGCTCGTGTACGCGCGAAATTCGCGCATACCAGTTTTTCGGCGGTGGCACCGTCTCCGCCGCATTAATTTGCAATTTAACAAGCGTCAATTGGCGAAAAAGGACTGGCGACGGGATAATGCGGTGCATGTGGGCCGATTCGGTGACGACGAGCCGGCGATTCGACCGGGCGATCCCGCTGTGTTGTGAAAGCCGCCGAAATTGCCGCGACTTATCTCGTAATCGTCTACGGCCAATTACCGTGTCCAGCACGAGCAGGCTTTTAATTCGTTTAATCGAGGTTCATTTGTACCGCGGAACGTTGTTGCCGTTCCCCTTTCCCCTCGCGGCGTGGCGTATGATTGGATGGCGAAAGAAGGATGGAGTAATTGATACGTTGCTGAAAACTGGCGTTCGCGAGCCGCTGTCACGGCGAGCTGTTTCGACGCACGAGAAGTGCGTCGTGCGCTTTCACGCTCGACAGATGGGACTTGTACAATAAAGGACGATGGTAATTTTGCGACTACACGACTCACGAAAATTCGAGAGACCGATGAAGTCGAACGATGCGCCTCGCGTGGGCGTCTCGCGATGAGAGCATTTCATCGATCCTCTCGTTTGGCGCGAGGTATACAATATCGAGCCTTCGTCTCGCCGGAACGATGTAAGCAGAAGTTAATTCCAGGTTGCGTCGTCTCTTTGAAGAAGCCAATTGACGTGTCGTTCACGGAACATCGAAGCGGCAAACTTGCGAAGGGCGCGACCCGGCCGAGAGTGTGAGTGAAACGCTCGATGCATTGAAAATTTAATGAGAATGCGCGCGCGCGCCTTTTCAAAAAGGACGACTCGCGTAACTCCGAAATGTTTGGAAACGCGCGCGCTTCTTGTGCAACGTAAATTCCCCGAGTCGAAGCTCGAACTCGAATTTCCCCACGCGCCATCTTGCTCCTTTTCCTCCCCTCTCCTCCATCGCTTATCAGCCCGATCTGCAGCACGCGAGACTCCGCCGTTATCGCGCGGGCATCTCCGTGCATCTTCATAGCGGCTAGACTTCGCGCGAGAATACCGGTGGGACGATACCAATAGAAATGCGCATACGTACAATGGCTGAAACTTTTCGTCCCACCCTCGCCTGCCCACCCCCTGGCCCGCGGGGTCGCATTTAAAATTGAAATCGCGCTTCCCCGTCGGGCGTCGACTTTCATACGCGCGCTTCGTCGCCTTCGATCTTGATTATCGCGGCGCGTTCCTCTGCCTTCCCCTCTTGTCTATCTCTTTCCTCCCCTACTTCCTCCCCCCCCTCCTTCTTTTACCTCGTCCTTTTCACCCCCTCCTCCCCACGTTTTTGCCGCTATCCACGATGCTCGGGCGAGTCGCGTGAATATGCATGAGTTGTCTGGCGTGTAGCCAGGAATTTCAAAGCAGAAATCCTGCCGACCGGTTCATTCAGCGCCGCGACCCGCCGCCAAATGTGTGTTTACGTTGTAATGTATGGCTCGCTCTCGGTGGGCACCCTTCCAGGGTGAGACGGAGAGAGAGAGAGAGAGAGAGAGAGAGAGAGAGAGAGAGAGAGAGAAGGATCGGGGTTGTATTTATCTAAAGTCCCACAATCGCGGGCAACGGTCCGACCGGTGTGTGAGCGTTGCTCGTGCAGTGTGACAGAGTAAGTCCGGGGTAGATGGGGGTAGTTTTTAAAATTGGAAATAACACGTCTGTATTGTTGCAATAAATGATCAATCAACACACTCAGCAGAGGATAATGTTTGAGGTTTACGGATGAACTTTTGCGAAAAGAAATTCATGGGACGCCAATGATAAGGAAATATTAAAAATATTCCGTAAGCGGGATAGATGATCAGGTGTAAAGAGATATAGTTGAGCATGCCTATAATAATGTAGAAATTTGTTTATTTTTATTTATTTTTTAATATTTTACATCCTTTTATTAATTATCGACCTTTTTATCAATCCTTTTATTAATTATCGATAAAATAAAACATTTCCACAAGTCTGTCCCGTTTGAAAAGTTCGCGTAAAGATGCGTATACCGCGTGGAACGTAGTCTCGGTGACGAATTTCGAGGTTAAGTACGCGAATACGATGTTTTTCAGTCGTTTAAGCCCAGGTCTAATGCTGCAACTCAAAATAAAGCATGTTCGCAATTCGCATTTTTCCGACGTGTCAAACATTTCGGAGGTTAATGGAAGCATGAAACATTTATTTACTCGCAATAACAGTGTTTTTGTGCATCAGGAAGAGACACACCTATCCGTGGTGCATCCAACTCGCAACTGACCGATCAAGCGTTGGCGCCTAGCATGTATTAACAAAATTATAGCAATTGACCATCCATCCCCTATGCCCATCCACCCCGGACTTATCCTAATGAATTTCTCTCTGGATCGCGCTGGTTACCGATCACGCGGCCCGGTCACTAATATGAAGGATTTACCAAGAATTGCGATATCGAAGAATCAACAAAATCCCCCCGAGCTGCTGACGAGATTTACTGTTAGCAGCCGCTATTACGAGAGAAGGAGAGCTTCCACCGTCGAGGGGACGCCGTGGCGAGATCTTGCCCGATTTTGCGGCAACGCAGCGCGACTCCACGCAAAAAGTCAGCACCTCTGGCACCGCGGATCCCCGAGACCTGCGCGCGATAACCTATGCAAAAGACGCTTCGTGCGCACGTGCGAGCCCGACGCGCCCGATGCGGAATTCAGCGCTGCGCTGCCGCAGCGAGTCATGTATTATAGAGAATACGATATCCATCTCGCGTCAAGATCTGCCGATCTCGCGGCCGCCGCGAAAGCGGCAACGCTCCGCGAGAATTTACAACGGAAGAAGCTTACTCGATTCATGCTTATCATATTGAATTAGCGCGAATTAGCGCGGAATCGCGAGTCGTTGCGCGCACCGAAATCCCCGAAACGCGCCTTTGCGCTCTCGGGACGTCTCCCGGCCCCCGGGGGAATTTTTAGCGCCACCCGCTATATGGAGGTTTGTACCGAAATCGGCCAACTTAAGGCCTTACTTAAGGCCTAACTATGACCAAAGTAACTATGGCCTTGAGTAGGCCTTAAAGTAAGGCCTTAAATAGGCCTTGAGTAGGCCTTAAAGTAAGGCCTTAAGTAGGGCCTTAAAGTAAGGCCTTAAAGTAAGGCCTTAAGTAGGGCCTTAAGTAAAACCGTAAACTAACTTGGATTCGTAATTGATCAACTGACCAATTGTCAAGATAATAAGTGACAAAAAATCCATCCACTTCTCTGACATTACAAAGTCAACAGCTGAAACCAATTTGTTGTAAACAGAAATAGCACATGGCTGTAACGTCCAAGCGTGATCATCAGCTGATCAATTACGGAACCAACGGTATCCGAGTTAGCTTAAGGCCTTGTAACTAAACCCAAAGTTTCGGAAAGCGATCTCGGAGCAGGCCTCGAAGTTCCGCTTGCGCACACACAGACGGAACTGCGCCGTCTGTTGCGGCCTTCGAGGCAACATCGAAGCGTTATTACGGCGGAGACCCGGGCCCCCGGGGCTTTTCGCCACGACCGGCGGACGGTGCGAGTTACGAGATGGTCAGTTGCAGTCTCTCGTCGGGCCCTCCCGAGCGATCCCAACCGCCCGAGCCGGCGGCCCTCTTATCTTCGAGCTTAAGTACAGCTTGCAGCCCAGCGCTCGGCCACTCGAGCAGCGGCCGAGCGAGAATTCACCAGCCGAGCCGCGCGAAATGATGGCTACCGGGCTGGAGGTAGCCGCTCCACGCGAGGCGGATTTAATGCACCACGGACGATCCGGAATTGACTTGTAAAGCGGAAAGTAAATCGCGCCGGAGAATATCGATTCCCTCGCCCGGGCCCACCCTCGAATGCAGACGCGATCGTGCCGACTCTCGCACGGCACGGCGTCCCGCGGGGGATGGAAATGCGCGACGTGGACGGAGCCATGGGAAATATATACGGCGGTTCCAAGGTTCCACCGGATTGCGCCGATACGGCGCGCTGACGTAATTCGATTTCCCCCGCAAATTGCCCCCTCACCTCCTGCCAAATTCATATCTCACTTTAATGTACGGAGAAAGAGAGAGAGAGAGAGAGAGGGGGGGGAGGGGGAGGGAAGGAGGCAGACACTTGAGCAAGGTCGCAGACGCTCGCGAGAAGCAGGGAGCTTCCGATTCTCGCGTGTGGTGGCTGCGATCGAAATTGCGGGAGCAAGTTTGGAGAAACGTCCCGCCGCGCCATGCTGGCGGAGAGACGCCCTTAACTGCGCAGCTGATACCTCCATCTGCCGCGGTCTTATTGCTCTGCCGCGTTTCTCGTGCCGGGGCATTTGTTGGGCACTTTGTCGGCGAGCTCGTTATGGCGGCCGGGAGAGCCGTTCGGCGTATCGAACTCGATCGGCCTATTGTTAGCGGGCGTAGTCACGCAATGGACACCCGATCGTTTCATCCGGATCGGGCAAATCGCTCTTTCAGCCCTTCGGCTCTGCCAAGCCCGTTTTTCTCAGGCGCAGGTTTTGTAAACACCGCCTCTTGCGCGCGCGCGCGCGCGCGTTTTCGCGCCATTGTCGTGTTACCTCGCGCGACTCGTCGTTTCGTGTTTGTATTTTCCGCATGGTCGATCGGAAGGGATAAAAGATCGATACGGCGGGATCCTGATG